GGGGGGGGGGGGGGGGGGTAACGACTGCGTCGACCCCACGGAATTGATAGGGCTCACCATTTACTCGGATGCCCGCCTCCTGAGCCAGACTAGTGACTCGAAACAGCACGAATCAAGTTCCCGAAAAAACTCCAGTAGGCTAAGGGCCGTTTTGAACAAAGCACTTTTTTTTCCAAATATTTGGAATGTTCCCAAATTTAGGAACTTTGCGCGGCGAGTTCGAAGGCAATAACTTTGGAAACTTTCCAAAAAATTGGAAGATACCATTCCAAAGTTTTGGGGCCCTGGTCAATTCCAATTTTTGGAAAAATTTCAATTTTTTTCTTGATTACTTCCAAATGATTGGAATGTGGAAACTTGGACAAAACAGCCATGATTAAAACGGTCCTAAAGTGTCGTTCCACATAGATTGGAGAAGACGTAAAACACGTGCGTGCCTCAATTTTTTTTGTTTGTCGATGTTGCCTGTCTCTTCACAGGAAGCGGCCACGTCTTATCGAACAGCAAATACAGGCGACTTGCTCTACTGGTACCAACCTCTCTGTTGGCCACCGCCTGAACGTTGACCTGGAGGGGCACGAGGTCCTCCAACGTCTTGTAAACGTCGGCCTGCAAGAGGAAACAAAAGGAGGAGGAGGAGGAGGAGGAGGAACAAGCGGTGCAACCACCAACAATAATAGCAGTGAGATAGCCGGTGTGTTATCGGAGCTGGCTGGGCATCGTTTGCAAACTTCTAAGGCGCACGTAACAGAGATTTTAGACAAAGTATAACAGCAACTCCACAGCCTTTTCTTTCGTCGCCATCCTGTTGGCAGTTGCTTGCACGTTTCTACCCACCGCGGTGGTGTATTTCAGCTTTTCATGAAGAAAAAACGCCAACTTCTGGCGTGTAGACTTCCTCTCTTTAGCAACGGCACCAGCCATAAGCGGAAAACTACACTGCACGTCTCAAGAACTACTTCGTACGACGTCAGAGGTCAATAACAACGACCACAACAACAACAACAAGCGAACGGGAGACACTGCATTTTCGAAAACCATCATACTATGACACCAACAACAACAAGGGTGAGAATGTTCAAGAATAACATAAAAACTACGACATCATCATCAATCATGTCAACTCCAGCACCACCGCCACGACAAACAACAAAACAATTAACAGCGAGTACCACGAAGCCAACCACATAAGCCAACCTGGAACTCCTTGGCATCGTCGTTGGAGCAGGCGTACGGGTACGGCACTTGTTCGTAGCCCCACGAGGCTTCCAGCAGCTTGAGCGGGGCCAGCAGGCTTACGGTCTCGCTGATCTGGTGCACCGTGATGATTCTTGACAAGTGGTACTCGTTGCTGCGAACGTGTAAAAAAAACGCCAATGGGGGGGGTGCGAACGAGCGCAAGCGAGATGAAGAGCCTTGGGATGGTTCGTGACAAGTGGTACTCGTTGCTGCGCACGGTCAAAAAAAGCCAACGGGGCGGGGGTGAGAACGAGCGTGAGCGAGAGGAAAAGCTTTGGAAAAAGAGGCGGCCGGTGATAGCCATTGGGCGTGGATGAGGGGTCATCGTTTCGATGGTGTGTCTGTGTTAGTATCGACCGCACTGACCGGCTGGCCAATGAAATGATGTCAGTCTCAATGCGCTTGAAGACAGAAAAGGCTTCTAAAGGTCATGATATGGGATCCCGTGAGGGGACGTGTGTGTGTGTCTTTCTTATTGGCATCGACCGCGCTAACCGGCTGACCAATGAAAAGACGACAGTCTCAGTGCGGTGGATAACACAAAATGCTTCTATAGGCCACGAACCTGGGACTCTGTGACCCAGCGTCATGGGGGAGTCTACCCTACTCTCCGGACTAAAGACAGATACCGTAGCTAATACCAGAAGAAAACTGCACGTGTTTGCCATGGCTGCTACTGCTTTGGATGCGCGTGCGCTAGTGTGTGTGTGTTTTTTCTCATCTAGCATCGACCGCGTGCGTTAGTTTGTCGACTTCCGTGGTAAATCATTGGGCTCTTCGCCGACAAGGCTCGCGCAGCACCAAGGGCCCTAAGTTAGGCGCCGTGAGAGACGCTTCCGAGTGTCCCCAAGTGAACTACTGTGAGTAAGAGCAGTATCCCGCTCAAAGACGCTTGCGAGGCTTCGGCGCCCTGTGAGCACATTATATGCTACACGGATGACAGCTTCTCGTGGAATTGATGTCATTTTCCGGGATGGGCACTTTCAAGGAACAAGCCTCCTGCGGTACAGCTGTCTCTTTTGGGTGCTCGACCATAGACGCGCTACGAGATTAGACCGCCCCCCTTGCGTGGAGCTAAGGTTTTCCTACCCTCGGGCACGACCTAACTCCACCATCATCCACAAGTTGGGGGGTGCCTATTGAAACTATATATATTTCAACAGTGATCAGTGACAAAACCAGCCCTTTCCTGTACATGTCTTCCAGGGAGAAACAAAAAAGGAAGTTTCTTCCCAAGCACAGGACGACCGACGAGAAAGCCGGAGAACTGAGGCTTAGTAGACCATCCTGAACACAGCGCTATTCCTGCCGTCACCAACGAACACGGTGCTAACTGTGCACGCGCACCTTATGAGGGTGAAGTGATACTTTTGTCTCGGCCACGCCGCAGACCTCCCCTCCCCCTCCCTCTCCCGTTCGTGAAGCTCCTCCCTCTCCATCCGGGACACCTCCTTTACCACGTTGTCCAGCGCCTCCTTCGTGCACGTGGACTCGCTCTCCACCAGAATGCCGATGTTTTCCGTGTCCACCTGAACAACATGACAGACCGACCGACCAACCGGTCGAGAAAGGACGAACATAATACTTGTACTATTGCGGTTACATCTCCAACGAGTACAAGTAGTCTTTGTGTGATGGTATGTGCCGTATGAAATAGACATGGGTTTAGTATTTCCGATATTGTGTGTACTGTATGTTTTCTAATGCTACATTCCACCAAGGCGCCGCTCGCGTGCCCAGGTTAGGGGCCGACGTACAGAATCGCACTCGGTGATGATGCTGGTGGCCTGTGTGTCGTTGTTTCCCGACGAAAGTGATGCCTATTGTAGGAATCGTTTTGTTCTCCAAGAGACTCTTCTTGGTGTGCGTTGGACTCGGTGCTCTCTTATCTGCGGGGGAAAAACCAAGACGTTTTCTGCGTTCACACCTGCGATAAAACCACCGCCATACACTAACCCTCGAGAGAAGTGAAGGCAACGCAGCGTCTAGAGCTATGGTTTGGAAGCTTCTTGGAAAATTACTTCGACTTGAGGGAGAAGGCGTTCTCGATAGCCTCTTTGCTACCTAGAGAGAGAGGAGGCTGGTACACCATGGTGTCGTCTACGTGGTCTCTTCAGACCCGCTTTATATATATATATCAATATATCAATTTAAAGATTCAGCGAGCGTGCAGGATAAATTTCCCTTGGGCGCTGAGAGAGCTTCATTGCGGCGCTCTCGGCCGCTCACAGAGCCGCATTTCCATTTCTCAGGGATCTTTCGGGCGCTTCTTGATCGTTCCGCTCCCTCTCTACATGTACGACTACTGTTTTCTTCTCGCTCTGCGTCTGGCTCGGTCGCGTCTGGCTCGTCGCTCGAGGTTGGTTCCGGTCGTTACTTTCCTCTGCTCCCCATCCACGACGCACCGCATTCTGTGCAGTCTCCCCCCACCCCCTCTCGCTCTGCTCTCAAACATCGCCAGTTTGCCTCTCGGTGCTTCCATGTCGGTTTGTCGGTACGATGCCCTGCTTCGAACATTCACTCTCTTTGTTGTCATTTCTTCTCTGCTCCCCCTTCACGAAGTGTGTCTCCTCACCCTGCGTCGCTCGCTAGCGGAACCTTTCGTCATTTTCCTCTGCTGTCCATCGATCGATACTCACATGACATTGCATGTGCCAGACTCTCCCCTCTTATACACCGGTCTGTCTGTGTCTTGGCTCTCACATATCGTATGCACATTCTTCATTCATTTCCATCTCTCATCTCATCCGGGATCTTAAGAGGTTTCTGATATTTCCGTTCGTTCATCGTTCCGCCTCGGTTCTCACATCCCAATACTTCACTGACTGGTGGTTCTGTCTCGCCTGCTCGTTCGTGGGAACAGGACGAACCGGGTAGCGGACGCCTCAATCGATCTGGCTTGGTCCAAGGTTCAGTCCGCTCTCGGCGGGCCCGCTCCTTCATCTTTGTACCATACAGCGGTAGACTATTGGCCAACACCTTTTTTTTTCATTTTTTCACATTACATGAGCGGCACATATTCTCTGACTCTCCGTACTCTCCGTGATCTCGCTCGCCCGTCAAGCGGCGTAAACTATAGGTTGCTGATGACGCTAGCATAGCAGCAACAGTAGCTGGAACGATTTGGTCGATTTGTTGCTCAGTCCTTTTTCTCTCGATGGGGGCGCTCATCTCGTCGCAGTTGTGTGGCTTCGCGACGTACGGTTGGCACCCCACACAGCAGCAGATCAAATATGTTTGGCCGAGCAATCAGCTCGGCGCTCCGCATGGCATCTGAACTCTGTGTGCCGTGCTACAGCTTGCTGCTGCAACGCATACGGATATCTACTCAGTCAGTTGATGATACACGACGGACCAAGCGAGTAGACGCCGGGCGCACTTCTGGCGGTGAGGTCGGTCGAGGTCTATTGAGCGGGGCGGCGAAAGCCGCCAGCACTACCACATCTCTCCGTTGGCCAATGCATACTTCATTTTGATGTTCGTCGGATACTATTGTTGCTGCTGTATGGCATGAATCGAGTACGCCCTCTTTCTGCACCGATCCATGTTTATGCTCATTTTGAATACTTTTATGTGTACTGGCACGAATGAATGTTGAGTACCACATATCGCGTATCTTGGAATCGATCTACTGAGCGGGGCGACGACAGCCGCCAGACCCCTTGTACATTAACCAATAAGCGTACTTTTCGGAGCCCACCATGTTGACATGAAAAAACAATGCCGTGTGGGTGTGCAAACGCCACGACTGAAATGGTGTTATGGGCAGAGCCGAAAACAAAAAACCAAGGTGTGTCTTGTGTATCGCGAGTAGAATGTTGCAGGATTTCATAGTACAGACCCAGGCATTATCCGGGCAACGCGCGTTGCTGTCCGTTCGTACGACAGAACACAACGTTGTGCGCATCAGCCTCGACTGAACCACGAAAAAGAGTCTGCATGGGTAAAGTCTATCTGCACCGTTAGAGACTTCCCATAAGAAACGACAAAGCAACGAAAATTCTGAAAAAGAAGGTCATCACACACAGCTCTCTGTGGTATTTTCAGTCCACAATTGATCGATGAACGTCACCCCCCTTGCCTCGTGTTGCTCGCACAGGTGGCGGAAGAAGATGTACCCCGCGGAGGCATCCGCGACCCTGTTGTCCCTCACGGTGCCCCCCGTAAAGCACACCAGGTCCGGCTGCAGCCGCCCGGACTTGAGCCCTTGCACAAGCCGTCTAATACGGGACGCATACTCTACCGTCACCTAGTAAGAGAGGGGGGCGGGAGGAGGGGGTCTGAGCGGTGGCATTCACCCGGCATCCTTGTCTGATGACGGTGGACGCGCAACGCTTGCGTGTTTCGCGGGTTGGATTGGCTTCGTTCGTCACGGCAGAGTTGGGGGAATACGCTGAGTACGGCTGCGATCTTGCACAGCAGAGTTGGGGGACAACACGGAGCGGCTGCGATGCTATACATAATGCACAAATTGGCGCAGCAGCGGGGTTGGCGGTACACTGGGGTCCAGACCGCAACATCACAACAGCTTTAATAGAACGCACCAACAACAACCACTAATCAGCTCACCTGATCTCTGATTAAATGCTTCCCGATGACCACCAACACCTGCCGGAGTTCGGGGTTAAGCAACTGATCGTCCTCGGACATCTACTGAAGGCAGTCGGGCAGAAACCAGCACGGGGGGGGAGGGGAGGGGGGGGCATAGTCCTATGTTGAGTGATAAGCTACAGTAGGGCGTAACACCGTTCCTTGGAGGGGATATTAGTGTCAATTGCACGTCTCCGTGACAAGAGCGAATCGTCCTCGACATGAGACCCGTTTTCAAGAAGGTCACCCCTTCATCTACAACGTGCAGTGCTCTTCACACGATTGCAGCGCTTACGGGGGGGGGGGAATCACTCTGGTCAGACGGTAGGCTACGGGGGCGGGATGGTACATTGTATTGTATGCGTCCAGGCATTGCTTTGCTGAGGCCCACGCCGCTTTTCGCTCATCCCCACACGAATGAAGAAATGCAACCGGCTGCTCTCGCTGTGCTGCCTAAACGGCTTCGGCGGCGCAACAACGAACACCTGTCGCTCCAAACCCATCATCATCCCCCTCGCCTGCATCAAGCGAACCGTCTCCTCGTCCGGCTCGGCCTCCGGGTACGGCAACCTGGCGTTCGATTCGCTCGGCGGGTCAAGAGCCAGCAGCTCATCCAGGCGGTCGATCACTTCGATAGCGTCCGGCAGCTGATCTTCCCCCCGTTCTTGCTTGCCCGCGTCCCCGATCCCCATCCCCCGGAAAAGATAATTAAATTCGAACTTCTCCTCGACGCTGTTGTCGTCGTCGACGCTGCTGCCAACCTCGGGTCGGCCGTAAGGAGCCGGGGGTACCCGCTGCTGCACCTGCGGGTCCGCCTCCTCCTGGCCCTCGTCCTGCACTCGGCCGTCTACCATCGGCGATGCTATATCCGCTCTGCTGCTCTTGCGCTGCTTGGCGGCGCTCAGGAGGTCGGACGGCCGTCCTTCCGGCCCGTAGACGGCAGCAAGAGCGGCGTCCAGCGCAGCCGCTTCCCGCTCTGCCTCGTCTTCTAGTGTGTGCTCCATCCGCTGGCGCTTGAGCTGCCGCCGCTGCTTCCGTCTGAGCTCGCGAATCCGCTTCTCGGCGGTCCTGATCTCCGCACCGAAGGGCACGTCGTCGTCGTCAAGATCTCCGAAATTTTCGTCGATATCGTCGATATCGTCGCCGATATCGTCGTCGTTGTCGCCATCAGTCTCTCCTCCCTCCAGTCCAGCGCTATGCCAAGGGTCGTCGTTCGTGGGCCGGTTGTTGTTGCTGTTGCCTCCGCGTCCGACACCTGCACCAACGGAGATGCCCGCCTCGTCGGCAAGCAACTCCAGGGTGCTCCTCCCGCTACTACCATCATCTTCAGGGGCATTGTTGCCGTCCTCACCATCACCATCGCCTTCACGTTCGGGAGACCTTCGGAGCCCCTTTGACTGAGCGAGCTCGACCAGCTGCTGCAGCTGAGCCGCGGTCATGTTCCTCGCAATGCTCCCGCCCGCTGCTTTCCTTGGCTTCTTGTTGGGCGCTCCCTTGGGCCGCCCCCCTTTTCGCTTGACCCGGGGCGGGGCACGGTCGTCCCCCTCTGCTTCGCCGTCAAAACTCCTACTCGACATCGGCGCTGACATCGAGATTGAAGCGTACGAGGATGATGCCCCCGCGCCGTTGGGTAGCGGGCGCGGAGGGATACGCCTGGTCACCGCTGCTGTATTCCAAGAGCACCGATGAATCAATGAGCACTGCGCTCGAGGTGAACCGAGAAGAGACCGCAGTAAGAAGGCTGGCCGCGCAGGGCTACCTCCTGCTGCGGCCGCCGCTGCTGCCGGCACCGCCGTCGCACGGGCCGACGATGATGCCGGGCTCTGTGCCAGAGGACCACACGAGGTCAAGAGTGTAACGAGGCACAAGTTGTGGACCTCCCAGGCCACGGGTCTCTTACGACGGCGCTGCCTTGTAGTACACATTGCTCTGCTGCACTCTCCAGCATTTCTGCGGTTCTACCGGCCAGGAGAGACGGCGGAAACGAGAGGCAGGAGGCGGAGGCAGGGAGGAAATCATGAGTGAAGGAGTTCGTGGAGAGGTCGTGTTATGTCCGTTACGGGACTGTACGGAATTGAATTGACAAATTTCAAATTTGCGGATACGCCGCATCTCCACTGCTGAGCTACATTGTAGAAGAAGGCAGAGCAGCGCAGAAAGAGACGGAGACAGAGACAGAGACAAAGACAGAGACAAAGACAAAGACAGAGACAAAGACAGGGACGGAGAGAGAGAGAGAGAGACAGAGACAGATAAAATATAGATATATGTATAGAGAGAGAACTTACACGAGCCGTGTTTGGTGTTTTGTCGTGCGCGTGCAACCTTAGTCTAGCAACCGCCGGGACCGAACCAAAGTCTCCACCCGCAGATGATCATCAGATATCATGGGAGCAGCGGCGAGCCTGGTTACAGAAGACCAACGAGCTAGCCTGCACATCGCCGTCCTTGAAGTTCTTCCATATATGGTGTATGCCCTGGAGGAGAGAAGATTCAAAGCTGGCTCTTTTTATGAGACACAGGAGTTCGCTCAACAGAAAGAACTCTGTCCCCTTTTTGCCGCGCTTGGGCTCCACGAATGGAGTATTTCGCACTTGTGGCGACACTTCCGGCAGGTGCGCGTATGATTCCCATGGGTCGAGGTATGACTCACAGCAATTGCACACTGCAGCAGCAGTGCTTTCTCTGTAGAGGTGTATGCGTTGTCGTTAGACGAAGTGTGGGCATTTTTTATACCAGATAAAAGCGCAACAGAATAATGCTCCTCCTGTGCTTGGCTGGTGAGCGTCTGGTGAACACCGTACCTCGTATCCCCACACACAGATCAAACGCCTGGGCTGGACAAACTCGAGGATACCTCGAACAGAGAAAGCACTGTAGGTTACAAACCATAAGATTGCCAGGAAGTCGACAGAGCCAAACGAATACGAGAGCAAAGCCAAACGAACCTCGTTTGTACACCCCACTTGCTTTACCCCGCCCCCGGCCACGTCCTGGATCCACACTCTCATTTTTAGCCATCTCTCTTACCCACCGCGACCGCCATCCGTACACACTTGAATCCAGATGAATGAGACGGCGAGCGGTACGGTGACATTGTGGGAGTTCCGAGAGTACTTCGATCTGCCAGATGATCGCTCCACTACAAGGCTTTTCCGCTGCTTCGACGAGGATCGCGACAACAGGATTGGCTTCCTGGAGCTAGTCGTGGGCATGTGGTCATACTGTGAGACAACGAATACACACCCCGCGAGAGGTCGTCTTTATGACGGTTTGGACTTGCGATCTCCTGCGATATTTTGGGGGTTGTACGAGACGACGCCCGTACTACCAGATATTCGTGACAATCGAATGCTCCCGAAATAAGGGCAGGCACTTGACGCGTTCACATCCGGCACATACATCTACAGTTCGCGATAATCCAGGGTCGGCGTGGGGTGATCATCTCCACCGGAGTAACGATCAACCCTACTCTTATGATGCCACGCACACACACTTGGTTTTTCTGTGGGCAGGCTGCAACTGTAATGCTTCAGTGGTGTGCCTTTGCTTTGACCTGCTAGACATGGACCACAATGGGAAGATCGGGGCCGACGAGTTCGACTTCATGATCGTGGATGTTTTCGGGCCGGAGTGGGAGGAAAACGACGAGGCCAGAGCTGTCCACACCTGGTGAGAGAGGGGAGCATGTTGACGCGCACACAAAAGCACGTGAAGGTACCAGGCTTCATCGATCGTATTCAAGAAGCTCGTGTGTTATTTTTCCCGCTTACCACTGCTGTGTTTTCGTTGTGAGAGCGGCTGCAACCGGCCGAAATCTGAACAAGAAGCACCGCCCAGTCACAAGCAAGAGGGGCCACCGAACAGAGGGTCTCTGCGAGTGAAACATGCAGTTCGTATCTCATGCATGTTGCCTGTCGTTGACAACAAACAGGTTCCACAAGAGAGACGATGCCCTGCTTGGTTTTCCTGAGATGGACATGGATGCCTGGTCTGCCTTTGTGTCCGCGAACCTTCAGGTTCAAGCCCCCGCGGTCCACACACGGCTGGTCCTCCAGAAAAAGGTGTGGTGGGTTTGAGTCGCATAGGAAGGGGAGTGAATGAAATATGTTTTTTTTCGCATGCGAGCTTTGACAAGGTGTTCAAGAATGAGAAGCATCTTAGAGGCAACAAACCGATGTTCACTGTCAAGTCTTTTTGGTACAATCCGTAGAGGAACGGCAGCAGTGAATATGTTTTTTCTGACAAGCCCGAGGGTTCCCCGTACTCAATGGTGGAAGGCACAGCCATGTAATGGTATTTGACCCCTTCCTTCAGAATCAATCATCTTTGTACTGTGTGGAACTCACTTGTCCGACCACAGTAGCAGGTTGTTGTTGCTTTCCGTTGTTTTCTTTCTCTTGATTAACGCTTTCCAAGCCAACTCACAATATCCCACGCACACACCATCATGAATCGTCTGCACGCACACTGAACAGAAGGGCACATGTCTCGGCATAAAGCCCTGATCTAGCATGACGTCACGTCTTAGCATCCGACGGTGCCACATAACCATGGCCAACGACGATCACATGTCTACCTCCAAATACCATAACAACCAACTGAGTGTCTCAACACACGTCGAGTCGTTCAAGCAGCGCGCAAGCAACAAGAATACAGTACGAGGAGAACGCTTCCTCCGGATAACGACCTACGTTCCGAGTATCATGGTTGTTTGGTATCACGTTCAATTCTCGGTCCTTGAACAGAAAAGCTCGGATATCTATCGCTACTTCAGTTATTGCTTGTTGCCGCACATAGCCGTGTCGTAACACCAACAACCTCTCTCTCGCAACAAGGTGCTCGGTGTCGGTTTCTGGACTCACTGCCTGCGGAAGAGCGTGACGATCTTCTTGGGACGCACGGCTACCGTCGAGCAAATCCTCAGCGCGCATGTGTCCCCGAACGTTCTCGAGGAGCTCGCGCAGGACAGGAGGCTAGAGCTGGACCACGACGACAGCACTCAGTTCAACCTCCGGGTGAGACAGAGGGGAAAAGCAGCACCATGTACATTCGCCCCCCCCTTGCCGGGGCCGCGGGCTCCTTGTTCCCGCCTCTGTGGGGAATTATTTGTTTAGTCGTGGCTGCCGTGATACCTACTACGTGTGCAGAGAGAGATTGGGGAGAGAGAGAGAGAGAGAGAGAGGCATCTGGAATGATTCTCCGCTTGAGCTCTCATAATCTCTCTTGGCAAACCAAAACAGGTCATTCGGCGCACGGGACCATTTCCCCGGCGAAGAAAATACAGAGATATGGCAGGGAAAAAGCTGAGAGCGAAGGCGGCGGCAGCTGTCGGGGCGATGGCGGCAGACACCGTGAAAAAATTCGCCACATTGACGGTGCGGGAGGCCTTCGAGAGAGTCACCGTGCCGGCCGGCCAGGACGCAACGTGGGAAGAGCCTAAACCGCCATCGACGCTTCAGGTGTGGGGGGTGACCATGCACGAGTATCCAGCACGCACATTCGGGTAGAATATTTCACGGGGAACATCAGGTGTTCTCATGCTCTTCGATCCGTACGAAGGAAACTCAAATACGCAACATTTCGTGCCCCATCGTCCACTTTTCTTCACACTTGGACATATTTATCCGCCCATAGAACGATCTCTCTGGCTTCAGCGTTGTACTGCGCAACAACAACAACGATAGCACCAAAATAGGTGCACGCCTTCCCGGTCGTATTTTGGTCAGGCGCTCATGGCAAGCCTGACGGCCATCGTCGAGCGCGCACCGCCGGGCGGGGTGCCGGCCGCCGGCAGCAGCGCGTCACCATCCCTCTTACGGAGCCCGGCGTCAAGATCACCATCCTCCTCCAAGAAAAAGAAGAACAAGAAGGGGGCTCCGCCAGATGCACTCGCCCTGCTCAAGAACCGTCCCGGCATCGACGGAGCTCCTCTCGGATCGCCGGCGGCCATCCCTTCGTCGCCGACCGGCTCGGTGATTGATGCAGACCCGGCCATCGCGAACGCCTTTTTCGGACTGAAACCCTTGCCGGAGGCGGTGGCACCGGCAAGCCCGTCGGCCGCCGCCGGCTCGGGGAGGGACCGGGCCAAGACGGCGGCGCGGACGGCGAAGAGGGGAGGGTCCCCATTGGCATCGTCACCGGGGGGGTCGAGAGCCGTGGGGGGGGGAAGGACCACCCTCTCGAGGACCGGCAAGGAGCTCGTTGGTGCCGGAGAGGTTGGGTGCGTCGGTGTCCCGGGGGGGGGGGG